AGTCCCTCTCTCTCAGCCCAACCTCACAGGGTTGTTGTTGTGGGGAAAATAGGAGGAGGAAAGAGGGTGAGGTATGTTCGCCGCCTTGAGCTATTGATTAAAAAAATAATAAAGGCGGGATTAAAAAAATGGAAATGGAAAGCAGGGCAGAACGAAGGTTGACAGCTGATGGCTCTCCATCTTCTCCAGAAGCACCAAAGGGGTCCTGATTCATGGGTCTACTTTGTTTCCCAGCTTCTTCTCCCAGGCAGAAACCAGAAACAGGAGGCCTTGCGCTGGAAGGTGTGAGCTGGCTTCACGTATCGCACTGAGCCCACAATGGCGGGGTTCACCCCACACCCAGAGCCACAATGCTTTGTTTGGGTTTAGCAGGGCACAGAAACCCAAGCCCTGTGGCTTATTCAACCAGCTTGGGTTCAACAAATGGGCTTTGCGTGATGTGCGAAGCCAGGCAGATACGTTCACCACAAGAGGAGCAGATAAAGGGAGTGGGTGACCCCAGATAGCCAGGTGAGGCTTGGGCCTTAATCTGGGGTCTTATGGGTTCCACTGTGCACAGGGACTCCTCAGGTACCCATCAAGTTAAAAAACTTAAAGGATTCAGATTTGAAAGGGAAGCCCAGCACCGGCTCTTCTCCAGCTGTAAGAGTCCTAAAGCTGGATCAGGCCAAGGTTCCTGTTAGCTTAGCCTGTTGTTTCGCACAGTGGCCCCCCAGATACCTCTGGGGGGTTGCAAACAGTTGAAAATCCTGGCCACCATAAATTGTGCCCAACATGCCCTGATATTGACAGGAGACCCCGTCTTCGTCGTCTTCTCCTTCTCCTTCTCCTCCCCTTCCCATCTGGTCAACCCACACCCATGCTCCAGGGTGTTAAAGGTGGCTTTATTCCAGCCTTTTAAACTCGCCTCTTTGACATTTTCATCAGTCCTGCACCTATTTTATATTTGATGGTTCTGCTTTACTGGGACCCCCCTCAAGAACATCTTCACGCGAGCATGCAGGACAGACATTATAAACCCTAGCAGACTGCGGCATTATAGAAATGTAAATAACTAAATCTGGCATGTATCCCTTCCTTTCGTAGCAGGGGTAGCTTTATTTCTGATGCGCTTCGTTCAGACAGAGAGCGACACAACTGAAACCATCCAATTCAATTAGCAATGATACAATAACACAGGATGTAATGAAATAATAAAGTCAACAACTCAAAGTAACAAGGAAGGATTTCTTTTAAACCGCTTCATAGGAGAAGAGCAGGTCTGGGGCTTTTTAACACAAATTGTAAGTGATTTGCCATGATTTTTTTAGAACTGATTGTTACTGATTGCAGACAACAGCTGATGCGTCTTTTTGTGTGAATGTGACATCCTAGTTCCTTGTTCATGCGGATAAAGAAAAACATGTTTGGAAGGAACTAGAAACTTTGCGCACCTTGTTTATCCGGGTGAGTCACAACTCGTGTTTATCATGAGTCAGAGGTGGGTGAGCAGGATGTGCGGCAGAAAGCAGCAACTGCTTCGTCATCCATACGGTCCTGCTTCCTGAATTTATTGTCAAGTTCTCTGGCACTTTCCAGATGTGTTGGACTTCAGACACGCCATAGCTTTAGGCCACAAGGTTTGGCGACAATGACGATCTATCTATCTATCTATCTATCTATCTATCTATCTATCTATCTATCTATTTCTAAATCAAAGGTATACGCCGGCCATCTCACTATATCAGTGACTCTAGGCGGCTCCCAAATAAAAACGATAAAACAACAACAACAAAGTCTGGACAGTGGGCATTGCAAGACCTGGAGACAGCAGAAGAGAAGAGAAAGAACTGGAGAAAAATCACAAGAGAAGTAGAACGACTGTGGGAAACGAAAGCAAAGATTGTACCAATAGTAATAGGTGCCTGGGTGCAATCCCAAAACATCTGGAGCACCCTTGAAGACCATCGGCAATGACAGAATCACCATCAGCCCATTGCAAAAGGCAGCTTTACGTGGGACAGCTTATAACCTGCAACGACACCTTGAACACCATCGGACCACAACGTCTGCCTATCTCAGGCCCTTGGGAAGGACTTGATAAGAGGATAAAATGCCAAGTCCAGTCTAAACATCTGGCTGACTGGGCGACCAACAATAATGATATTATTATATTTTGCAATGATACCTTTAATATTATTATACAACGTCTGCCTATCCCAGGTCCTTGGGAAGGACTCGATAGGTGGACAAAAATGCCAGACCTATTTGCAGGTCTGTCAGCCACAGAAAGTGATGTACGCGAGATGGGCAGTTACAGAAATCAAATTAATTCTTCTTGTTCTTATTCTCGCAGGCGGGGGTGTCCGGACTAGCGAGGATAAGCAAGCAAGGGCTGCTTTTTCACGGCCCTTGACCCACGCGCTAGCCAAACACGCGTCGCGGGGTCCCGGGTTCAAATCGCGCCAAGCGGCTCAGCCCGTCGGGCGGCCGGGCCAGAAGAAATGCTGACTCACGCCTAGGGCCGCCAGGAGGCGGGGCGCCCTGATTCAGCGAAAAGCAAAGCCGGGTTGGCCGCGATTGGCCGGCGAGCGGGTGACGTAGACAAGGTCTGCTCTGATTGGGCAACCGGGAGGCGGAAGTAAAATATGACTCAGCAAAAACGCGCTGGGCTGTATAAAGTGTTGGAGCGCGGCGGGGCTGGACACGGATGTTTGGTGTGGGTCGTGTGTGTGTGTCAATCTATACAGACGTCTCCCTTTTCTTCGGCCCCTGCGCAACTAGCGCCGATCCTGCGAGCTTCCGACCCCGCCCGCCACCCTCGGGACCTGGGTTGGAGAGAACAGGCACGGGAGTGCGTTCCCACGGCTTGCTAAGCCCAGTGGGGTTGGCTAAGTATGTTGTGTGAGCCCGTTCCTTGGGTAAATCCTGCCCCTTTTGGGTAGTTTAGTAAGCTGCGGTTAAACTACTTATGGGATGGTAGTCCTAGGTTGGGTTGGGTTGGGTTGGGTTGAGTTGGGTGGTTTGTTGAGACGTGCATTCAAATCTTGGTTTATTCCTGTTTATTAAGTGTCTGGGGCTGCCTGAAGCTGGGTGAGGGGGAATCAGTGGAACTTCTTGGGAACTTTGGGGGCTGGTCGTGGTTCTTTACCAGCAACGTTCAGCCTGGCCCTTGGTGGGGCTGGTCCTTCCGTACAGGAGTGGCTGCCGCTGAACCCACATTAGTTGGGTTTGCACCTAGCGCTGAGTTCTGAGGGGTTTTCATTGCCTTGATCTTACCCTACCCTGTAAATGATCACGGTGGGGGTTTTTGGCAAATGATGGCAAAATGAAATGATGGGTTAATGGGGTATTTGAAGTCAGCTATTCAGCAACCCTGGTTAAAGCAGTCGCACAGTGTGTGAATCCGGCTGCTCGTGTCCCGTGGGGAAACCAAATCTACAAAACCTTTCCTTCTAGGAGACCGTAATTCTGGGAAGTTGGGGGCTTCTGGAGAATGGAATTCCCAGACCTAGGAACACACTGCTGTGAGAAGACCTGCAAACAGCTGGGTGCGTGCCGATGTTTTCCTGCAAAGCGCCTTCTGTAAGGGGTAACAACGGCTGCCCGAAACCTTCGTGGTTTGGGGAGAGCAAAAGGCGCTGGATCTCTTGTGTTAGAACAAGACCCACGTTAACATGTTTGCTGTTTTTCTCCAAAGATTTTCTTCCTCTGAAATGTGATGCGTGTGAGAAGCTCTTCTGCAAAGACCACTTTACCTACAGCCGACACAACTGTTCTTCCGCATACAAGAAGGTGATTCGTATTTATGGCATTGGGAGTCTTGCGAAAGGGGACCGGAGTGTGTCAATGCACAGCGAGTTGTACAAAAACGCTGTTGTTGAAACCGTGTCTGAACTGCTCCTCGTCCGTCCTTGCGCTGGTGGGCTCTAGTTGGGTGTTAACGCTGGCATTATTTCAGGCTGGTAACCTAACTCCTGGTCTACCGTTCGAAATTGTGATGAAGAAGCAGAATAATAAAAAGTGGAGAAAGGGCATTTCTATAGCCTTGTGGTGGTGCTGGAAGACGTAAAGAAGTTAAAGTCTTAAATAAGGAAACAAGTTTATCTATTGCTTTGATAAGAGGCTTTTTTTCTTTTAAGAATGGTGTCCCAGGACCTTGCTAATTGGCAGAATGTAAACCCTAATGATAACCCTCTGGGGGAGATGGGCGGCATATAAATTTAATAACTAAATAAATGCCCATAGAGTTACTCCAGGGGGCATGCTAGGGACAGGTTGAAGCAAGGCCTGGGTTGGTCTACAGTCCAAAGAGGTGGGAACGTTCATTTACTCAACATGCTTTTTGGAGGTCTCATTCTGACACGCTGGTCTCTGTCAGGTGGTAGGTTGTGGAAACAGCTCCAAATGGAGTTACTGGCAAATCGAGCCAAACTCCGTTGGACAATCCATAAAGTTACTTCTCTTGCTGAGTGCTTTCAGACAGAATAGGGGTTAAAAGTGTGAAATGGGGTATCCTAGTTGATCTTGAGTTGGCATGCTTTGCCTCATCTGCAAGATGCAAATTATAGTGTCCAAACTGCATTGGCTTTGTGCTGGTCCTAAATCAAGCGAGCTAAAGAGGGTTGGCGGTCTTGTGCAAGCCCTGCTAATTAGCTAAAACTTGCACTCAGGTTCCTTGGCCTAGAATCCAGATTGGCTTGAAAGTGCCCCATCACTTCAAGCGGGGAAGGCGACGTTCGCCGTTCCCCCCCCCCCCCGTCTTTGCTGACTTCAACCTGATGATTTTTGTTTTAGGATGTTCAGGTTCCAGTCTGTCCTCTTTGCAATGCTCCCGTCCCGGTAAGAAAGGGAGAGTTGCCAGATGTAGCGGTGGGAGCCCATATGGACCGGGACTGCAAACAGGATTCTGCCCAGCAGAAGCAGAAAGTAAGGAATTTCTTAGACGTGTGAACCTCTTGAAGGCAGTTCATCTTGTCGCTCTTGGTTCTCTCTTCCTCTTGCCTTGATGGAGCCTTACAAGATATCTCTCTGTCTTTAGAAAGTGATTTGATTTTGCTTAATGACTAATTTGAGCTAAGGGCCATGTTCCCTTAAGGAAAAATGGAAAGAGGCTGGAGGTGAATGAGCGCCCACCACCTTTTCTCTACATCCTTTACCCCATCTCCATTTGCTCCCCTAGACACCTTCAGAAGAAGAGGGTCAATTCACAGATCTCATTTTGGGGTGGTTTACTCAAATCACACTTTGTCAAGCAAGACTTGGTGACTTGATTTATTTATTTTTTATTTATACATAGACTTATCCCTGGCCATCTCCCCGCAATGGGGGACTCTGGGCGGTTTACATCAAGTTAAAACAATAAATACATGATTAAAATTTATAAGAAGACAAACACATCTACACAGATGGAAAGAAGAGGAAAAAAAAATTGATTCACACCTGAGCCTAAACTGTAAATGAGGATTGGGCACGATGACGTTACCATGCCTGGTGACAAAACTTCTGCAGGAAAACAGCCAAGCTCAGAGAACATCAAGAACCCGACAGTTTAGCCTTGAGCAGTGATGGGGAACCTTTTGGGCTCGGTGTGTCAAAAATTCAGAAAATGCCTAACTTGACTGCTGGCTTGTCGTCCCCCACAAACAAAAAAACAATTCTTTACATATTTATTTTAAAAATATGGTCCAATCGTGTGGTGCTATGTATTATATAAAGAAACGTCAAATAGTTACAAAAATGAAATATGAGTAAAACAAACTCAGTTTCTTTGGAAATTCAAACACAGAATAGTTTGGTGTGTCACCCAAAATGTTGTGGCATGTCATGTAAAACACAGTAGAACCCAAATGCCACAGAACAGGTGAACACAGAAGTCTTAAGATTAGGTGTGCCTGGAGGTAGCATTGGAAGCCAATCGATTTGTATTTTTATCTGGATTTGGAGATGTCACTGCTAGTGGCTGAGAACAGTTCTATGAGGATGCCAAATTCACATTGGGGTTGGGTCTGAGCTCTGAAATCCCGGCCCTGCATTTTACTAGCAGTCCCACCTTCCTCAGTGGGCCTACTGCTCATAAGGTGTGCTGAGTAGTGGCGTTTCGCCCACCCTGGTTCTGATTTGATGCCCTTGGTGTTTAGATCTTCACCAACAAGTGCTTCAGACCAGGCTGCAAGAAGAAAGAGATGATGCAGCTGGTTTGTGACCAGTGTCACCGGAACTTTTGCCTTCGGCATCGGCATCCTTTGGACCATGACTGCCAGGGACGCGTTTGGGCTGCCTCGAAAGCTGGGTAAGGCTACTGAGTGGGGAGGCATGACAGCCTTCTTTCAGGGCATGTTCCAAGTGGCATCTCAGTGGTTTACAAAGCTGGTTCAGTCTTGGGAGAGAGCCATGGGACATGGTCCATCCAAGCTGGCTGAGGAATGGAAGGAGTCTGTTATCAGCGTGGCCGCAGGTTATCTTGCAGCGATCCTGCCCCAAACCTAGCAACAGCATCCTTGGATGATGGCACAGCTTAGTTAACGTTTATTCATTTATTTGTAGGTTGTGGGATCCTCAAAACAGCTCCAGGTGGTTTACGAATAATGCCCCCCCCAAAAGTAAAAACAATAGCATAAAAGTAATAGACATACCAGATAGCTCAATAATAATTATTAGGAAAATCAATGTCTTAAATGCGTATTAACTTCCTCTCAGGTGTGCAGCTGTGATGAGGTCCCTGGAATCCAAGAAGATTTCTCCCAGCTGCCAGTTTCTACAAAACAGGTAAGGTTTGATCTTCTCTGATCGGGAAGTAGTCCTATGCTCCGGACGTGCCCTGTTGAAACTTTAGTTAGTGCAAAGCGTTGTTATTGATTTCTGAATGTGCCCAAGTTAGCCGGCCAGTCTGTTTGATTCTGTGCCATCAAGTCACTGTCCACTCTTAGTGACAAACAGCTATTTCAACAGGAATTCAGCAGGACATTTTATGATCTTTCCAAGAAAAGTCAGCTGTTGGCAATAAATGGGCACAGAAGATTTCACTCAGTCTGATTACTTAGACAAGCAGCTCTCGTGGGTTATATTTATACACCTTGATTTGCTAACGGCATAAAACGGCAAGGACTTCAATGACCGGGTTTTAGTATAATAGAAACTATTTAAATTAATCCATTATGGTGTAACTCCTACAGCCTTCCCCTGTGAAAAGAAAATATTACACTTGTCTAAAATCCAACAGGAAGGAAATAATAGTGAGAATAGAGGTTATGAACTGTGCAAGAAATATTTGTTCATAGCTTCTGGCTCCCTAACTCCATTTTCGTTTTGTTTCAGGTGCGAAGCGCAAAGCTGAGGTCTACAACCTGGATCTAAACCTACCTCGAGCCTGTCTATTGCTGTCTGTCCATCTTTAGCTTTTAAAAATGCACTGTACCCTTTTGCACATTTTTGATTAAACTGCCTCCTGGTCTTGTAATGGTGGTTGGCTTGGATTCAAGTCACAGAGAACTGCTGAAACGGACCGAGGAGGCACATGTTTGAAGGAATTGCAAGATTGCTCACTTTGTCTTGCCCAGGATAATGGTCATCGCAGATTCCTTGGTCCCAAATGAAGTTCGAGAAAACCTGAAGCCTATAGGAGTAGATCTGGTCCATTCCAGTATTCTTGATGGCTGGAAAAAAAACCCCCGCATTTTCTAAACTTGAAATGAGGGCAGATGCTTATTTCTAAGAATCCTTAGCCCAGTGTTTCTCAACCTTGGCCACTTTAAGAGAT